CTTGTTTTTTGTAAAGAAATTACACTTGATGTCTCATATGGATGAGAAATTCTATCAGTTGATTCAGATAAATTATAGTTTAAATACTGCCAATAACACTTTATAGTTAAATAATGACATTTTCATATAATTAATAAGTGATCTGTAATAATTAATAAATGATAAATAACATTTAATATATTAGTTATATTAGATTCTAGTCCAAGATTGTCTCTATAGCACCCTCTTAGATCACCCTGATATCTTGATGACATCTAAAATTGGATAAGGCATCTTGGCATAAATATGTCTGGTTCTCATGGATATTTCCATGTTATCATGTTTCATTTGAACATTCATAATTTGGGTCTTTTAACAGCAACCTTATTTCACATTCATTCCGTTTGAATGCTGTATTTGTTACCTCTGGGGAATATGGAAAAATATGACATCAAGTTCCCAGATGGTAAATAGCTTGCAAAATTGTGCTCAGAAGACGTGTTTTCTACTGGAGAACTTGGGTAGCTAAAATTATATCGAGTTCACAACAACCAATCTGAATTATATCATAAATAATGAATTATATGATATAATTGTTGTGCTTCTGTACTAATATTTCAAATGTATCCCGAATAGAATGAAGTATTATTAGGAGACTTCTCAGAGGTAACGAATACAGCATTAAACCATTTTTGCCTCCCAAAAATTATGTTGTCAGAATAGTTTTTAGAACAGAACAGATGAATTTTGTGTAATGTCAAATGTAATGTTCTGTGATCTATTCTGATTCTGGACCACCTTGAAGAGCTAGTTTCTGAAAGGTTTTCACTACGGACACAAATAAAATTGTGTAATGTAAATGGGACTACAATGGGACTAAGTTCAACTTCCTCAAATAAGTTGTTTTATAGTATAACAATTTTTTTCACTGAAATTGTTAGAAACACTTACCACTTCTATCAAATATAATTCCAAATATCACAGTTATAAAGTTATCAATTAATATATATAGAAAATGTTCATTTAATCCCATTACCTCATATCGCAATATTTATTGTGGCATGATTGACAATACCAAGCCTTAGTTCTCAGACCACTTGGTTTACTATAAATGTATAAGGGTATATTTTATCTAGGCAGGGTCCAGACCATGATTAAAATGCTTTATAGCAGACTAATGTGAAAGGGGCTAAAAAAAAGGGTGATCAAGTTTATTTATTTTATAACTTCTTAAGAATGCATCATCATATTCAGTGTATGGTGCTGTTATTGTCTTGCCTGCCATGTGTGACTTATTGAAGAAACTCAAACCTTTCTCAAAAGAAAATATTTATAACTCATTATGGTTCAAGATTAAAAATTTCAAAATTATAATCAGTTGATCTATTTGATTTTTTTGTGTTTTTGTCTTTGTTTGTGGATTTAATGAAGTAAAAACTCATTGAGAAATGAAATTTGATAATAACCTTCTTATGACTTATAATCTAAAATACACAACTTAGTAATTAGAAGTTTTTTTTTTAAGAGGCTGTGATTGAGACATATGGATGAATGAGTCATTCTCTTTATTAGTTTATTCTAAAATGAATTCTGAACATTTTCCTTTAAACAGTTTTAAGAATTTAAAAAAAGAATTGTCTCTAAAAACAAAAAAATCCACTTTTCTTGTCATATTTGTTAAACAAACCATGACCAAGAACAAAGCAACAAGAAATAAATGCTTTTGTCAACAAAAGCCAACAAAGTTTTCTAACTTGACCAGTTGATAATAATTTTCATCTTTTCTTGTTTGCTAATGTAATAATCACATATTTTTTGCCTTTAATTATCCTTTTATTCATCAATGTTTCAAGCTGAATAAAGACATCATTATTGTTATGTGTTCACTTTCAGATTTTCTTTTTAAAATAGAGAGAATAGTCTTTGTTAGAAATTTATGAAGAAATGGTTTTTGCATTAAGGCCCTGTCCTGTATACAGATATAATGGAAAAACTAGTTACATTTTTTATTTACAAAACATCACATGGATTTGTAATTTACAGCTTCATTATTCCAGTACATGTTCATTAAAGTTCAGACCAATAGGATGTAAAATTACACTTGATTTCGTAAGATTAGTCATGAACATTGTCTCTTCCCTCCAGACATTTTGTTACTCTTTTCATTTTTCTTTGTCAAATTTTGTCACATTAAGATGTTGAGGAACGTTCCCCAGATGTGTCACTCGCTGATCTAATCATTCTAATTTTAGTAACATTGTTCTCGCAGACACAAGATGTTAGATTATGTCAAATAGCTTCCATTCTTTAATTAGTGTTTTTAGAATATTCCTGATTTTAATCAGACGCTGTTTCCAAAGATTTATTAGGCACTAGTCAACTTTTCTCCACAATTTTCTATCGTCACAAGTGTCATGTCAGTGTGGCACATCACCGATGTCACATCAAAGAAGATTTTCTAGTCAGTGGCAAGTCAATTTCCTTCTTTCACTCAAAATTCTATTTTTAATAGAACATCAGCGATATCACATTTCTTTACTTTTCCTGTTTAATTTCTTTCGCGTCAGACATAAAAAAAATTCCAATAATTGAAAATAAATTTGAAATATGTGCAATAATAGATAATATTTTTCACTTTTGGGCTTTATAGTTTCTGAAACATTTGAATTCTGAAAAGGAAAATTTTATGTCACATCTTTTAGCAGATATTGTTATTGTAATTAAACTATGATTGCTATTTATTAAATATTACAGTATGTATTAACATGTATTGGCCTGATAAATATTAGAAAAGTCAGATATTCAGATTTAAGACAGAGTTTTTGTCTTTTTCTTTAATCCCTGTAAACATCTTTTGGTATCAGAAAGAGTAACAGTGACAGTGTGTTGTTCGACATCACTGAATTGGTTTGTAACGAAATCTATAGTAAATCTAAAATAATATAATTTCTAATAAATATAATTTAAATAGTTATAATAAAATCTTATAAACACCTTGTTTCATGCACTAACTTATTCAAAATTTCAAAATTGTACAGTTTCATGCATTGCTCTGTTCATTCTGTGTTAGTCTTCATTAGCTTGATCAGAAGAGAAAAGTTGGACGTAACAACTCATTTATTTGAATTTTAAAATAGTTGTTCACAATTACCTTGACAGGAGAACTAAAGAAACTAACAAACAAGTTATTTTTTTCAACCTCAAATAAATCTCTAAAATGTCTTAAAATGTTGGAAATCAATAATGTATACGAAAAGATTCATTGATGAATAAGTATTAGTCATTAATCAGACATACTGGTTGACCCCAACTGACCTCTAAATATTACCACAAGCAACATAGAAATGTCTTATTCCTACTTTATCTTATTATGTTTCTCAAAAGATTCCTAGCTTGGAGTCAGTTCTATAGTTTGATTAATGCTGTACAAAGGTCAGTTAGTTATGCCCATTAGTATAATTTAGATTTGATTATTTCATAGTTATTTTCAGTAACTTGATTTCAGTATTTATCACAGGGAGAGATATATTTATAATTGTGACTTGTCAGAAAAGACTTGTGGTTAAAAAACAAAATCCAAAAGACATTCTCAAATTTTTAAATATTTTCAACAAATCAATGATAATTCACCACTCTTAGTGAAATATGTCATTAAAATGAAGTAAATATATCTTGTAAACTATTGAAATAAGTATGACTACAAAGCAGCTAATTGGAAAGGTATAAATGAAGAAACTCTCACGACTAGTTCTTTCTCATCCTTTTACATTTCAAGTTCATGTTCCAACAGTAAAAAATGTGTTAAAGTATGTACATGTATTGTCTATCTTTGATGGTTTTTGAAATGGACTATTGACTGGATATTGATGAATGTCTAGTTGTTCACAGAATGAAATCGATAAAAGATACAGTTAAGATTGATTGAGTTTAGTTGAGTTTGATTGAGTTAGACCCTGATGTACTTCATTTCTTCTTAATTTACATCACACTTCAAGACAAAATTTCAAGAGATCTTTATGCTTTGTCAATAACACATCTTAGAAATCTTATTTTTTGTCTCTGTTGTAATCTAACAGTCTTCTATGGTTGTCACATTCTAATGAAGTTATTTTTAACCAATGTATGACCCTTTTCTTTGATCCCAATTGTTGGATAGTGAAACTAAGTGGCTTTTCCAATGCTCTACTTAGGGTTTTGCAATCCAGCAATTAGTCATTGATATCTAATATTTAAGCAGATTAGTAGCACATGAGACCTTTGATTATCATTAGTTAATTTTGATCTTGCTGTATATGTGTAGTCTACTATGAATCAGAAGAGGATTAACTGATACTAGTACAGACTGATGTGTTTAATTAGGATAGTCTGAGATTTAATCATTAACTCTCAATAGCTAAAGAAACTATCATTACTCATAGTTGATGACTGTAGTTACCCTAGTATTGATTATAATGTTTCTTTATTTCACATCATGATCTGATCTCTACTAAACTCCTAATTAAACACACTGGAGACAAAATATTTTTAAAAGACTCATTGATTCAAGTATGAATGTTATTATGTTTGCATATGGTAATGAAATGATTAGGAACTGTGTTATGCAAATAGGATCAGAGTCTAAGCATTTCGGCTCTTAAAATGACTTGGTGAATACGTAGCAACCAAGGACTACTATATACTACTAGTAGTAATCCTTGGCAGCAACTGAAAACAATAAAAGTATTCAATAAAAAGACTAAAAGACAAGACTATTCTTAAAAGACAAGACTATTAAGAATTTGTAAAATTTAATCTTTTCTAACCTAGTTTAAACATCCTCTTGATTTCTGATTTCTCCAACTAGTTTGAAAATGTTATTTAATCTAAGCCATAATTGTTGCTTTCGTTGCAATTTGTGTTTGGGTGAACTCTAGACCCATTGGAAAAGCTTAAGAAGCCACAGAAAACACAGAAAATGGAAGATCCAGGTTTGCATCATAATGAGATTGGAAACATTTCTTAGCAAGTTATAGAGGTTTAACATGTTGCACTTGCAAAGAGTTATCAGCATCTTGTTGGTTATAACATCTGAAAACTGTTTTGTAGGTTTGAGAGGAAGTAGAAGTGAGGATAACATCACCCAATGTACTAGTCAACCATGTTATTTTAATGGTACCTGTATTAATCTAGACAATGATTATAAATGTAATTGTGTAGATGGGTTTATGGGTAAGAATTGTGAAGCTGTGATTCGAAGATGTCGGTTTGATAATCCATGTGGAGATAACTCAGTCTGTGTAGAGAGACCAAGTGGTAAGACAATTCACTTTGATATGGACACAATTTGCTTTGTTTTTTTGATATCACTATTGCAAAAGGTGCTAATGATATCTAAGAGCCTTTGTGATGGTGAATGCATAAAACGTTTGCATGATTTTCAAGAATCACAGATGTCTGACTAAAGATTGGAATGTGGCAAAATGGAGGTTTTGCTTTTAGTGTTTCCAATACATATGATTAAAAACCTTTAAATGCCTTTAAACCAGACATCAACTTTCACCCATACTGCTTATTTATCCAATTTATTTTTCTAATCTGCAAATATTATGCAAGTCATCCTTTGACATCACTAAAACGTTAATGAACTCTTCCATACATGCGCTTTCCTATTAATTTGACACTGTGTTATGGTTGTTCAGAAAGTTCATTTGCAAAATCAGGGTGGTGTTGCCAGTTGAAATAAATTCAGTGTTGATATTACAGGGGGTTATGAATGTTACTGTAAACCAGGATATCGTGGTGAGAAGTGTCAGTTTGATATTAATGAATGTGAATCTTCACCATGTTTGAATTCTGCAGTATGTCTTAATGGTATTAATCAGTATACATGTAATTGTGTATCAGGTAGGCTCTTTATATATGTTTTTTGGCAGGATGTCATCAATCATCAATTATTAAAATTTAAAATTGCTTACCCTTGACACCTGATCAATTAAAAGCGTATAAAAGAGAGTTTCCATTCTGATTCAAGCTACTGTGGCTACTCTGAATTCTGACTGGAAATCAGAATGGTGCACTTAAAAGTAATTATCTGAGATACATACAAAATGTGAAAGAAATCTTTTGGATCTCTAAGATTGAAGATCACTACTTTATGATTTAAATATATATTATAGGGTTTACAGGAAAGCAGTGTGAAGTAGATATCAATGAATGTGGTAGTTCACCATGTCAGAATAATGCTACCTGTCTAGAACCAGTACCAAATATCTATAGTTGTACCTGTCTACTAGGATACACTGGTATTAACTGTGAAACAAATATCAATGATTGTCAATCCAATAGTTGCTCACCATACCATACATGTGTTGATGGAATTAATACTTTCAGGTAAATTAAAGTTATTCTAATCCAAAATCGGATGTTCTATTTTGAAAAGAATTTAAAACTTTCTCAAAATGAATTCTTCCCTTGTACAGTGTTCAAATAGCAGTATATAAAGTCCAAACAAATACTTTGGTTAATTATTATTCCAATATTTTCAGCTGTGAGTGTCCAACTGGTAAAACAGGTAACCAATGTGAAAAATTCATAGATGATTGTCATAGTAACCCATGTCAAAATGGTGGAAAATGTATTGATGGCATAGAATCTTATACTTGTCAGTGCTCCTACCCTTATACTGGAACTCAATGTGAAAAAGATATTGATGCCTGTATACCTAACCCTTGTCTACATGGTGGATCGTGTTTCTATGACAACAAAACAACAGACGGGTACAGATGTAACTGTACAGATGGATTTATTGGAGATCGTTGTGAAGGGGATATCTATGATTGTCGTTCAGATCCATGTTTAAATGGAGCAGAATGCATTGAGAATACAGATGGTAGTAAAGGATTCACATGTAAATGTACTCAAGGCTATGCTGGAAAGTTTTGTGAAGCTAAGGCTGATAGTTGTAACTCAAATCCCTGTGAGAATTCAGGGACCTGTACTCCTGTACCTGATGGTAAATATTACAAATTATTTCATTGAAGAATTATAATTAGATGGATGATCTGTTTCTTTTCAGAACATGTGAAACTTTAGCATATAGAATTAGCTTACATGCCTTTTTAAAGGAAAAAGCAAATTTTGCTCTCTTATAATGTAAAAAGGCCTCAAATGTGCCAAACAACAGATGAATACAATACCAGGATTTGTACAATGTGCATCAAACAGTGTTTCTAAATCTAAAGCTATCAAATCAGAGCAGATTACAAGATCTAAAGGTTCTCATTATTCAAGTCTTTTTCTGCCTTCACAATAAATAAATTCTGTAGCCTGATTAATCCACACTCTAAAAATGTTGTTACGAAACAGAATTTAATTTGTCCAGAAGTAAAAAAGAATAAATGTTTTATAGCTCACCTAACTAAAATATTTTCATTTGTATCTGGGATGTCACCTTTAACCACCTTACCAAACATCTTGATGCAGTGTATCATTTGAACACATTGGGAAAAATACAACTATGCCAACTGTTTGTATTTTATGTTAAGAATATTATCCTACCTTATAGTCAAGTAAACCTTTTGTTTTTGGTTGATTAGTATTAATTTGGTGTTAACAGTCATTTTGAGGTTGTTTGATGAGATTTCACTCATATTTCGATGGCTAATCCTACTCAACAATGTTCAAATCTGTTACATTGAGGCAAGTTACCTTGACCAGTTGTGAACACTGGACAGTTGGTGATATATTTTAATTACTTTATATGGTAATTAGACATCTGTAATCAAATGTTGATATGTATTTGCCATTTCTTACTTTCACATTAGTTGTCCTTTTACTTTGGTCAGATAATACATTTATGAATGAGTTTTATTTAACTATAATCTTGGATCTTTCAAGGTAGACATCTACTGATTTTGAAGACTTTCAGTAGGCAGTATTCTCTGGATTCTTTTCCCATGGGTGTAAAACTCAATTTCATTTGAATTCCTATATTGATGGTTCATGACTTTTCTTGCAGGGTTTAGATGTACATGTCCACCAGAATATACTGGACGTACTTGTTCTGATGATGTTAATGAATGTTTAAGATCACCATGTACCATCAATGGACAATGTTTAAATTTGAATGGTGGATACCAGTGTATCTGTTCTCCCTATTGGACTGGTAGTGACTGTAGTGTTGATGTAGCAGAGTGCACCAGTAATCCATGTTTAAATAATGGTACTTGTGTTGAAGTTATTGGTGGTCAACCAACTTGTCAATGTTCTTTAGGTATAGTATAATACATGTATATAGTAAACCTGTATAGGACCCTAGCTTAATACGTGATATGTTTTTCATGATATTAAAGCCTGGGGTGTTTTTTAGAGATATTTATTGTTTTTTGTACATGCAGATTATTTAAAAAAAAAAACATCATTTTGTTTCCAAAACCATGAAATATTAGGATATATACCCATATCATGATATATTGATCCTTAATATTGTGATATCCACTTGAAACAATATCCCCATTACTTTGTGTGAACGAACCAAGGCAAATAAACCCATGGCAACATGTATTAGGGATAATGGACCAGATGCATGTGATCAGAGGTGTTTCAGATGTGTTTTGCAGTAATGTCCATTCAGTGATCAGCCACCTCTAAGAGTTTTTCAAGAAAGAAGTTAACTATTGAAATAGATATCAGTAATAGCCTGTTTATGAAATTTTGTGTAATAATTATAGGATATTCTGGTGATTTATGTGAAACTAAAGTATCAGTATGTACACTGAAACCATGTTTAAATGGTGGTACATGTACTGATACTGACAACTCCTATAGGTGTTCTTGTCCAGTACTGTATACAGGTAAGTTATCAAGGGGTAAGGCTGCCTGTATGAGCATGTGAAACATTGAGTTAATAAATGTCAGAAATAGTATATCAATATGTTTTGTGCTTCTTTACCTATGTCTATTGACATATATGTAATATTTGTAACTGATTGACAACTGACATATAAATATATCTTGAAATGTATTGATGCAAATAAAAACCTTTGTTCATTTACTTCTTCTATTTGTTTGAAGGTAAAAACTGTGAAACATTAAGTGATCCTTGTTCTACCAATCCCTGTATAAACTCTGGAACTTGTTTTAAAACCAATGCTACATCACTAGGATATAAATGTCTCTGTACAGATGGTTTTAAAGGTGGTCAATGTGAAGATGATGTTGATGAATGTGTCTTTTCACCATGTCAGAATAAAGCTACCTGTATTAATAGTATTGGTAGTTACTTGTGTCAATGTGTATTAGGATATGCTGGTAAGTTCTTTAGCCTTTTTCATCTGCAAACACAGATCATTGCTGTAGAATCAATGTGCCATTCTTTGAAAATTGTAACTTTCATTTCAATAGTATTTTGTTGCAAGAACACATAGTTAAGGTACACACTACTGTATATTTGCATATGAAATAAATTTTCTTGCCCATGAAAGGAATTGTAAAATTTTGCAAGATGGTCTACCATTCAATAATAAAGAGCCCTTAATAGTTTCTGCTCATAAAAATCACAGCATATTCATTTGTTACAACTTCAGTTCATTAATAGTAAAATAAGTGGTTGAAAGTTAAATTATAAATTGTAGGAAGACAGTGTGAGTCTGAGATTAATGAATGTTTATTTCAACCTTGTCGTAATGGTGGAAGATGTATTAATCTAGTTAATGATTTTAAATGTGAATGTTTACCAGGTTATTCAGGTAAGATTATGGAAACCAAATATCAGTAGAAACATTGTTCTGTATTACTGATTGCATATATAGGAAGGAAGCAACTTTATTTTGGACTTAGTTATTGTCTGCTGAACATTCAGGTGGCATTTGTCATTAATCTTGTAGTCAAAATTTGATCATTAAAATACAACAATTTAAAAAAAAACTTTATTCATGAAATTGTTGAGATAAATAAAAGGTTTTGATATGGATCTGATATAGATTTTCAAGAACTGATCTTATTACTGCTGTCACTCTAAAGGGGATTTAACACATTAGTTCTTACCAAGAGTGCTTAAATATCCAGAATGTTTGTGTGTTATATACATGTAAAATTATAGGTATAGCCTGTAGTAAAGATACTAATGAATGTGCCAGTAATCCGTGTAAACAAGGTAGTACATGTATTGATGGTGTCAACAGTTATACTTGTCAATGTCAACCAGGATTTACAGGTTTGTATCAACTTATCTTCTTGTGGTACCTAGTCAACTCTTTTACATTACAAATAAATTACTAATTGATGAATTAAGTTGAAGAATTTGCAGGAAAGAGCAAGCAAACAGCATCTAATTTGTTTGGATAATCTGAGGTTAAGATGATGTCCTCACGTCATGCTGCACTACAAAACATTTTCATTTTCATTCAAAATTTCTAATTGTATCTAGGACAAGATTGTTCAACTGATATTAAAGAATGTGATTCCACGCCATGTCTAAATAATGGTACTTGTTCAGAACCAACATCAAATGAATATAAGTGTCAATGTCCTAGTGGTGTGTCTGGTACTAACTGTCAGATGGTAGCCATTGCTAATTTCAATGGGTTTTCCTTTGTAAAGTTATCTTCTATCAAACAAACTACCAGAAAGAAAAGAAGTGTAGACAGACTGGACATAAGTTTCTCTTTTACAACTAGTGTTACCAATGGTGTTATTATGTATATTACAGGAGTAAGTTCTTTTGCATCATCTGGTTTTTATTAGTAATGGAGTTTCTTCTTAATTAATTTTTGAACATATTAGCTTTCAAGCTCTCATGTTTACTTGAGCTACTTTGAGCTCCAATATAATTGGGCTGGTGTCAGAGCAGGGTATTCTTACCTACCGAGAAAACCATTAATGTCTACCAGTTTGATTGTAAATAAAGCTTCCACCTTTAATGAGCCATACTCTATCAAAGCATAATTTATTTATCTTTTAAAGACATCCAATGAAGGAAAACCACAACATCTTGGAGTGGAGTTATATAAAGATAGTTTAAGAATCACCCATAGTCTGGGTATTGAAACAATCTCAGGAAGCATCAAGTTACCAGATCCAGTGAATGGACTCTATACTCATGCTGTACTGATTGAATTAACTTCTAATGAGTTAACTCTTACCATGGATCAGCTCAACTGTAACAAGGGACCATCATGTCTTCTGAAGTTTCCCAGAACATACTCTAATATTACCATTAATCTACAAGAAGATTTCTATTTTGGAGGAATAACATCTGTTACACCTTACATCAGAAGTAAATTGAAAACTCTGAATGGTTTTGTTGGTTGTCTTGGAGTGAGTTCCTTTTCAGTATTTCATGTCTTTATTTTGCATTATTACATTATTGTTGCAATCATTATTTTTTGTATGTTTTGTTTTTGGAAAAAGTGCATTTAGCTAATGATGAATCAAATTATTTCTTTCAAAAGAATTTTGTGTTACATTTTTATTATGAACTACAATGTAGCTGCCATATTTTTTTCTATAGAGCCTTCAAGTGAATTCACAGACGATAAACCTTCTACCATCTGATAACAACCAGCAACCATCCAACCAACAACCCTCTCCTGGTTGTTCTGATCATCAACAGTGTTCAACAACCATGTGTCAAAATGGTGGAACCTGTGTTGATATGTGGACAAGGAAATACTGTAAATGTCTACCAGGATTTTCTGGAGAGAACTGTCAAATACAAAATATGGCTCATTTTACACCATCTTCTATGTTATATTTTGCTGGTGGATCTAAACTACAGGAGATTTCTTTGTGGATAACAACTCTGAATAGTTCTGGTATTATTTTGTATACTGTAAGTATTTGAGGATGGTCTGGCAGCTCTGCTTTTGATGGTTTGATTTAAAATATAAGACTGATGTCTTTTATATGATATCAATTTTCAGTAATTGTCCAAGAGTTTAGAAATAACATTTTTGTGTTTAAAATTTATAGCAATGGTGTACTTTGGCTTATGGAAATTTATTCTGTATTTATCATAGTATGTAGTGGTTTGGTCAAGCAAAGCACCAAAAAAGTAATATGATTGCAGGCTCTTGAAAGGGCTAAACCCTGGTGTTCCACTTATGCTACTGTTTTTGAAACTTCAGCATAGTCTGTGATATGTTTCAGATGACATCTGATATTATGGCATTAATGGTAGATGAAGGACAGATAAGACTACAGTTAGTCTCTGATAATACAGACTATGTTAGTCGTGTTAGTCGAAATATAGATAATGGTAACTGGTACTATATAAGTTTAACTCTAACTGGTGGAGGTTACAGATTGCAAGGTATGTTTATCCTTTAGAACCTCTATGTAGTCTTATCTTCATAAACAATGTGGTTGATTGGTAGATGATTAGTTAACCTCTGCTTCCACCAATAGCTGATGTCGTAGAATATGACAGACTGTGACCATTTCATTTATATACTGTGTAGGCTAGCATGCTGGGGACCTTGATTGTTTCTGCTAATTGTGAGGTATATTAGCAGTTAAGTGACCAATATTAATCATTTTGCTGTTAAATATAGATCAGACAGTGGTCTGCTCTTGTGTTGAGGTTTACAAATGTTTTTAAGGTCATTTTGATTGTTTTCAGTATCAACAGAATCTAGTGGTGTTTATGGTACAGCAACAGGTACTGTAGGTAATCTGTTATTAGTAACCATGCCAATATTCTATGGTAAGCTACATGATCATCCTGCTGTTGATAAATGGAGACTTCGTCCACAAAAATTACCAACATTTTCAGGGTGAGTAATTTACAAATGAAAATAATGAACACTTTTTGACTTCTACAGCTTAAAAGTTCAAAGAATGATAATGACTATATTCTGCTGTTTCAGATACATAAACTGCTAGAAGTATTTTAATAAGCTCACCTTGTTTGACAAATTTAAAATCAAAATTATTTTTGTGCTGCGTTCAACATATTTTCATTTACTTGGTTTGTGGGTATGTTATAAAAGTCAATCCATGATGAAATTTATGCAGTTGCAATGTTTTGAGTTGCATTTTCGAAATTGGTTCTGCCTTACATCACTGGGAAAAGCTTCTTTCCTTTAACAAACAGCATGATAAAATGTGTATATATATATCTGGATGTGGAATTTTTACTTCAATGAATGATATTGTAGTTTTAATGGGTGTATAAGAGATGTTACAGTCAACTATAACCCTGTTGATCTGAGTACTAATCAGAAGACAGTGTTTGGTAATGATCCTATCAAACCGGTACCTGGCTGTCCAAGAGAAGAACAGTGTAACATCTCACCTTGTTTAAATGATGGTGTCTGTGTCTCAAAGTGGGAAGGACCAACATGTCAATGTCCTATCAGTCATCATGGTACTAATTGTTCTGAAGGTGGGTGACTAATGTTTCTAATCAATAACTTATAATTGCTTTCTGGAAATTTATGTTATCTTTCATTCAAAATATTTTAATTCATTTTCTTAAAGAATATTTGATTCACTTTAAAACTTAGTTTGTTACTTAAAGTAAAATCTGAACTGACGACTTGTTTTGATGTATTAGATGATGTAGGAATAGCATACTATAAAATTGTGTTCCATTATTACATTGTGATCTTTACCCCTTGTCTTTTATAGATTACATTATTGTTTGTGTTGCAGTTATGAACATAATTTTCTTTTAAATATTGTGAGATCTACAATCACGAGTTTACTAACCTGCAACAAAATTACATTGGAAACATTATTTGAAAGCTTGAGAATATTTTTTTTTGATTGATCTTTCAGCTGCCTCTTCTACATTTAATGGTAAAACAAGTTATGCTAAAACAAATCTCAATAGATTGGAATTCCCATTTGGTGAAGAACTAGCATTACAAATACGTACCAGACAAAAGAGGTGTAGTATTTTATTGATACAGTTTTATACTGTTGATGGTAGCCGATCTGGACAAATAGAACTAGCTTTATTTACTGGTTTATTACAAGTTTATTCTTCTTTTAGTTCAGGTAAGTACAGAACTTTTTGATGAAGATTCTCTAAAAGAACCCTTTCAGATAAGATAACTTTTGGTAGGTTTATCTTGACAATCAATGAACATTGACAATTTTTAAATGGTGTTGGTTTAGTTAGTTGTAAGGTTTTTGATTTCAGGGAACTGTGGCTGAAACTTTTAATACATACTTCTTATTGCTGTCGTCAGTGTATATAACCTATCCTACGATTCTCAATTCTTTAACAGAAATTATATGTGTAATTTTTTCATCATGGACAAACATGCAAACGATAAAGAGTTATTATTATCACAAATAAATATTATCCATCATTAGGTACAGCAACTTTCCAGAAAGATTTATCAGATGGTGTATGGCATTATGTCTACTGGAAGAAAGAAGGTGATGACTTGGTTATCAATGTTGATGATGAGAGACAACGACTTCTAGCTAACTTCAAACCTTACAGTCAAAATTTGAATACAACTGTAACAGTTCATATTGGTGCCAAGCCCTTTTCTCCTGGTAAATATTACAATTCTTCAAACTTGATTCTCAAAATATCTTAAAGCATGCTTTCTAAATGACCCAACATCATTCTAGACCATAAGCTTAAAACTTGTGTTTTATTTCAGGGAATACTGACAACCTGATTGGCTATTTCAAAGGTTGTTTACGAGATTTATCATCTAATAAAGTTAATCTCCATTATCTGTCATCTCATTCACCACAGTCAGGAGTAACAACTGTTGATACAGACATTACAACTGGTTGTCAAGGTGATGACGTCTGCAGTGTTAATCCATGTGGTCCAAATAAACAATGTATTAATACATGGAACAGTTTTACATGTCCATGTTCTAAAGGATGGACTGGTACTGACTGTCAATCTAGTGTTGATGATTGTGTTGGTGTTGTGTGTCAAAATGGTGGTTCATGCCTTGATGGTCACAATAGCTTTTTATGTTCTTGTGCTGATGGTTTTACTGGACAGTATTGTGAATCAAATTTTACTGCCTGTGATTCTAATCCTTGTGATCCAAAGAACACTGAGCGTTGTTTGGTTTCTGGTTCAAATTTTACTTGTCAGTGTAAGGCAGGGTATGACGGCCAAACATGCTCAAACAATATTAATGAATGTTTGACCAAACCTTGTCAAAATGGAGGAAATTGTACAGATTTGATCAATGCTTACAAGTGTGAATGTAATAATGAATATTTTGGAGACAACTGTGAATATCGTTATATCTGCTCATCGAATCCATGCTTTAATAAAGGGGTCTGTATGCCTACTTCTGACAATTTAAACTATACATGTCAGTGTTCAGATCAATATATTGGTAGGCAGTGTGAACTATTTAATTATTGTAAAGACAATCAGTGTATTAATAACTCTACATGTACATTGACCTCATCTGCTTTTATTTGTGACTGCTTACCAGGCTTCTATGGTGTTTATTGTCAATTTAAAGATTTCTGCTTCAATTCCCCTTGCAAAAATAGTGCTGAATGCCGAAATGATCAAAATGACTTCAGATGCCAGTGTCCTGTATATTTTACTGGCAAAACTTGTGAAACTCAAATAAGTCAATGTCAAATCAATCCATGTTTAAATGGTGGATTGTGTGTTTCAAATACAAGTTCATCAGAGATTAAATGTGTTTGTCAAACAGGATTTACAGGATCTCGATGTGAAACAGATATTGATGAATGTGCTTCAAATCCATGTCAAAATGGAGCACTGTGCTTAGAGAGCTCAAAGACCCCATTGGAGAAATTTTATGTTGGATATAGATGTAATTGTGTTGAGGGGTTTACTGGAACAAATTGCGAGGTAAATATCCAAGAATGTTCTAGTATACCATGTCAGAACAATGGTGTCTGTAATGATATGATTAATGGGTACAAGTGCCAGTGTGTCAACGGATTTGAGGGAGTGAATTGTGAGTTTGATATAAGACTCTGTTCTTCATCTCCTTGTCAAAATGGAGCTCAATGTGAAAATATTTCGAAGCTTAATTTCCAGTGCAACTGTCCTCAAGGTTACACGGGTCGTCTTTGTGAAACAAATATTGATGATTGCAAAAACAATCTGTGTAAACATGGTGCTAAATGTAAGGACGGTCTGAATTCTTATTCTTGTGAGTGTCTACCTGGATATACAGGACAAAATTGTCAAATTATAGCAGACGCATGTTTTAGTCAGCCATGTTTGAACAATGGAGTATGTAGATATGCAGGAGTTTGTTCTTGTCAAGATATTGTGTCTGCTTGTGGTTGGTATAATGAATCTTGCCAGGTTACCGCCTGCTTTAGACGTGTAGATTGTGTCATTAGGTCTACTTCTTATGAGTGTAACTGCAAAACTGGATATTCTGGAACACAGTGCCAGAATGATGTTAACGAGTGTATCCAATCACCATGTAAAAATAATGGTACATGTACTAATACTATAGGAAGTTATGAATGTAACTGTGATGGAACTGGATTTGATGGCACTAACTGTACAGAAGATGTCAATGAATGTGATAAAAATCCATGCTTTAATGGAGGTAAGTGAAATTTGAATTGTAGTATGCAAAAAATACATTCTTATTTTGCAGTGACAGTTATTTCCCTTGCACACCAAATCTGCTTTAATTGTTCATTACGTCATGCATAACTGTTCTTTCTTGCAGGTCAATGTCAGAATCAGTTGGGTTCATACCGTTGTGTTTGTCCTGCTGGATGGACAGGACAGACGTGTGGTGAAAATATCAACGAGTGTCAATCAAACCCATGT